CCGTTTTTAAACCTTGCGATCATAGAAGTTATCATTGATAAACCTCATAATTTATATAATAAGCCTATTATTATTTATTATTATTAAAAATTAAATAGGCGTTAAAATAACTTCTAATATATTAGTTTTAAGTTCGAAGAGCCCAAAGTGACACAAAACTTATATTTTTGAGCTCAAAGAGCTCAAAAACGTAATGTATAATTTTGAGCGCTTAGTGCAAAATGAACGGGAAGTTGCAGGGATGGCCTTCAGGGTCAACCGTCGTTCTAATTTTTTTCTTATTCTTCTAATACAATCAAATTAATATTTTCTAAAAAAATTAAAAATAGATTCATTCATATGGGATTGAAAATAAAACGTTCTGCCAAAATTTGAAAGTAATAGGTAAAGTGTCGAAATGTTAAAATTAAGGTTGTTTGGACACTAATGCACTTGTAAAGATCAAAAGCTAATTTTTTGATATGTTATTAATTGCTATTTCATACGTCTAAATTAATTTTTTGGAATAAATCTGACGAAGGGTTATCATTTAATAAATTATTAAAAAATTGAAATTTAACATGTAACCTGTCTTTCGCTAACACGAAGAGATTTCATGGTTTTTTTACACGTGAGCAGGCAACATATAGCTGTCCATGTGAGAAACATGTGTTTTCCAAATCCAAACCGCAAATAGACAGTGTTTGGCCTTGAGATTTAAGCCATCTACCGGATATCTGTGCAACTTAGATTCCAAACCACCATCTATTAGGATTTCATAGAACTAACCGATAAATACAGACTAAAGTCGTATAATAAACATTTAATTTGCAATAACAATTATTGAGATCAATAATTGAGATAAAAACTACCCTATCTTTTAAGTTGGATCAAACTGCACACGGTGTGCAAATTTAATTAAAAATCGGTTAAGTAGTTTAGGAGTCCATCGCGGACAAACAACGTGACACGTGATTTATATATATTGTAACGGGGTGTTTCTATTTCCGCCGTTCAATAGCAGCCTAAATTATTAGTTAGATGTTAACTCCAAATACCATGAGACTATTATATAAGATATTAAATTTAAGGCGCCACCAGGTTGTTACAACGGTGTCCTGGAAACCGTAAGAGACATGAGAGATAATCTACAGGGTAGAGAGATTTAGGAAATTATCTGGAAATGAATAAAATCAATAATTCGTGGTTACCAATTATTTATTCAACAATATCACACTCACACGCACTCTATAAATTCTATTGCCAAATTTTCCATAACAAAATTACTTAACTAATACCCGCGAAACAGAGGGGAAACCGTACCATAATTCACGGGTACGAGGACCACATGACCTCCACTTTTCCTTTACCAATATTCCGTATTACCAATATTCCATATTACCGAATGACCGATTGATTGTAAACTCCTGATGTAGAGGGACGCCGTACCATTTATCAGAAGCTACTCGTCTATTGTCTCACTCTCTATCACTCATAACCCAACCGTATTAATTAACTAAAATCTTAAATTATCTAACCGAGTTAACAAAATTGTCCGGTGACTATTTTCAACACAATAGAATATATATGACGCTAGTAAACGTGACCTTGTGATTTTAGACGCACAATTAAAATGTACTGCGTAGTAACAAACTAATTCACCACTTCTTTATAAAATTTTACAATAAACGATCCATAATTTAAATTTAACTAATCGAATATTATTAATAAATAATTTTACTCAACCGAAATTCTCAATAATTAATTAAATTAATTTATAATGCTGACTATAAAATGGCGCGTAATTATCTTAACACCAACTACGTCTCAAGGTTAAATAATATTTCCCGGGTGTCGGACCACAGGATTTTCTAGCGAATTTATTTTAACCAATAATAAATTTAATTTATAACCCAATAATTATTTTAATTTAAAAATCACAGTTAAAACAATTAAATCTTGTCCAGAAGAGTCAATAAGACCGGGTGCTAACCACAGTCGAATTTTGCCCACGAGACTTGACAAAGTACCTTGCAATCCGACGAACTGCTTCCCGCCAACTCACAGCTACGGCTTGGGTCTGCTGCCGCCTCGTCGTTGCTCGTACTCTCGGGGATATTGTACTCCTTACAACCGCAACAATATTTCCTGAGACGTACCAAATAGGATTAGTATAATGTAATTTATCAATTGGAAACAATTAATAAATACTACACATCGCTTGCGTTCCAATTAAGTGAACGTGCGACTGGATAATTACCTGAGTTTTCCAAAGTACGTCCGGAACGTTCGGTAGTACAACCTCTTCTGTCTTGTCCGCCGGCCGCTGCTTCACTCGTGCTCGGCTCCCGGCTCATCGTCATAAGAAGATATATAAGTACTATATAATAACATATAAGTATATATAATTATATATAAAAATTTTTTACCCGGGAAGAAATATAAAAAAGAAAAGATTAAATAACGAGGTTTTTTGAGGGTCTAAAAATAAGCATCAACTTTGGACTTCTGTAAAATCATAATTCAAATTTTTTTTTCACGCTAAATTTTTGGTGATTAGTTAAATTTTCGTAAATGCAATGATAAAAAAAAATAATTGTTTTCTTCATAAATTATTATCATAATTTATAAACAATGGTCACTCGCTATCTTTTGATCAAATAGAGATATGAATTTGTTTCAAATTAGCATTTATAAAGGGTAAAATATTGGAATTACGTGCGAATTATGAAATTTGCCTCTATCAAATTTTCTGATTTATTTAATTTTTTTAATTTGAGACAAGTGTTTATGGCCCCTATCGACTTTAGACCCTTTTGTAATTGTTCCTTTTTCCATACCCGCATGGAGAAATATATATGTCAAAAATATATGTCGCATATATAATATATATGCCGCATATATTTACGCAAAAAAAATATATCAACATATATTTTTCACATAGATGCTGACATATATGCAGAAATACATGCTTACATATATGTAGACATATATGTAAGTATACACTGAAAAAAAAATTTCTAAGTTTGAGAATTTTTTTACTCAAATCAA